GATCGGGCAGTGTTTCGTTCTGCTGTGCATGGGGTCGCTATGAGTCGGAAACGACTCGACGGCACTTAACAACAACAACAACAACAAGTAGTGGTAAGAGAAAACTCACTAACCCACGAATCATTTTCAAAGTACACTGAAATTCATCTTGACTTAAAGTTTCTAATTTATCCTGATGTGTCATGTGCAAGTGTTCACTTATCCACACCTGTGATACTAATGTGCTTTATGACAAAGCACAGCATTTATAATCTCTGCTCTCCTCACACCGTTTGTCTTATTTAAGGAGTGCTCTACAAATACAAAACACCAAGTGCTACATTAAGGGAAGTCCTTACCTTATCAAATCAATATAAAAATAGAGTGTACCTACGATTTGTCATATTAAGTAAAGTTTACTAGATCATAAATGCCACTGTGCGTAGTTAGTCTAAGTATTATTTTGAAAAGCTTTTGTTTCGTATACATATATGAATGTGTGCTCTAGGTTGCTACGCAAAACATTTTTATTATGGTCTAAGATCAGAAACGTGGAAACACTGTACTATCATACACCCAGATTCATAAATTTTTTTTTTTAAATTGTTCTTTTTCCTTTCCAAAGAAACAATATTCATTACAGGAAACTGAATACAGTAAATTATTTATTTGAAAAAATATCACCTATATTCTTTCCAAACTATGTTGATAGCTTTTCTTCTAATCTCTTTCCAATGAATAAAAATTTGGAGCATGGGTTTGAGGTGTAGTTGGATAAACTGTTTTCTCTTAACTTGCCATGAAACATCTTTATAACAATAAGCATTCTTAGCAATTTTTTTTAATTGGTTGGGGTTATATATAGTGTACAAGATAAACCATTACTTAGCTAGTCACAATTTTTCATTAAAAATGATGCCATCTCTGTAACATGTATTACTTTTAAGACTTAAAAAAATAAAATAAAAAAAAAGCTATGGTGTGGGAAGGAGAATGGGACTATACCACACATATACATAGGTGAGATAAATGATATTTCTACATATGTTTTTATGTGTGTTATAAATATATCCATGAATATATTAGAGCATACAGGAGGGCAAGTTATGAAAACTTCTGAGCCATAACCAGATACCTTGAGGGAATGAGTTGCTGGGCCTGGGGGCCTCCGGGCCCAGGACCATAGTTTTGGAGGATACCAAGATCAACTGGCACAGCACAGTCTACAAAGAAAATGTTCTACATTCTACTTTGTTGAGTAGCAACTGGGTCTTAAAAGCTTGTAAACAGCCATTTAAGGTATTGGTCTCTCTGTCTGAAGCACAGAAGAGTGAAGAAAATCAGAGACACATGGCAATAATTAGTCCAAGGACTCATGGACCATGTGAACCTCATCCTCTACCACCCTGAGACCAGAAGAAATGGTGCCTGGCTACTATTAGGGACTACTCTGAGAAGGATCACATTAGAAAGACCTGGATAGAGTGGGAGAAAAATGTGGAACAAAACTCAAAATCATAAAAAAGACCAGTCAGATAGGGACTGATGGTACCTCTGAAACGATGGTCTTTAGATATCCTTCAGTCCTGAATTGAACTCACTCCTGTGGCTCAATTTTCAGCCAAACAATAGACAGGTGAACAACAGCACTAGAAAGGTATGCAAGCTTTAGAACAATAAACCATTCAAGATCAAAAGGGCAGCATTTGCCCAAAGACTAAGTTCAGAAGGCAGGATGGGTTAGGTGAGAAGGAGGAACACAGGGAGGGAGTGGGAGGAGTGATGTTACATTGAGGAGGATTATAATCAATGACATGCAAAATGCATATGAATTGCGGAACTGAAAATTGATTTGCTCTGTAAACTTTCACCCAAATCATAATAAAAAGTTAAAAAAAAAAAAAAAGAATTTTGACAGAATCTCTTTGATAGAGCTTTGTGTCCAGTTTAATTTTGAAACTAATGCCTAAGAGAATTAGTAAGTCACAGAAATAAGTATTTTTAAAGTATTAAAAAGTAGACATTTGTTAATGTGTGACTTCCCAATGTTCATTGCATCCTGACCCCACTGTGCACGGTAATATGGAATGTAGAACTAGCTCCAGATCCACAGATGGCTCATTAGTCTAAACCAGAGGTCAACAAACTTCTATGAGGAGTCTGATGGTAGGTATTTTCGGCTTTGCAGGCCCTAAGTCCTTCTGTCTGTCTGTTCATCCCTTCATGTCTTACCTTTTTCTCAAGAAGAATCAGTTTAAATAGGATTAAGACCTATGGAAAGAAAAGTTTTAATAAAATAAGGAGTTCAATTCTAATAAAATAAGGAATTCAATTCTATTATTCATTTGCTTTTTCTTCTCTTTAAACATAATCACATTATCATTTAATTCATACTAGTAAATAATTGAACCAAACCAAACCCACTGACTGACTCATACTGACCCCTACTGGGTTTCCAAGGTAATAAATCTTTATGGAAGTAGGTTGCCTCATCTTCTTTCTGCAGCACCACTGGCAAGTCTGAACCACCAACCTTCTGGTTAGCAGTCAAATGCCTTAGGCACTGTACCACCATTACATAATTAATCAGTGTTTTAAAAACTATATTGAAAAATATGAACTTAAACTGAGAAATTAAGTATTACTTGTGTCTCTTAAACTAAAACCAAAAAGCTGAGAAGTACTTAATCTCTTCTTGAAAGGCAGGGAACACTCTTTTACTTCTTGATGCCTAGGTGTTTACAACTCAGGTACTCAGTAAGAGTTTCCTATATATGGATGATCCATGTGTGTATGTACTAGTCAACATATGTTGTTCTAATAAAAATCAGAAAGCACAGGTGTAGCTATTTTACTGGAAAAGGTACCACTTTCAGGGCAATATAAGATATTCTACAAGATTAAGACATGTTTTTATTTATTCTAATCTCGTATCTGAAATGATAAAGACAATAGAAAAAAAAGTCTCATTCTGCAAAGAAATAAACAGATAATATTGGTACCTTTTAGAAAGTATACAAGCACTACCAATAGCACTTTCCACTTTGTATAGTGACACAGTGCTGTTTCAGAAGAACTAAAACAGTTATGTCACTATCTATATTCAACCACATAGAATCTGTCCAGCTAAATGAACAAGGTAAGAACAGTGTGCACCTATTGAGTACTTCATAAATCAAGTAAGTTATCCTACCTTGTGTCGAAAATGAAGGACAAGATCTCGAGGAGACAGACCTGTAATGTTAACAAAAGCTAAACTGAGTAAGATCTACTGTTTTTGTTGAAGAAAAGTTTTTATTTTTCCTTCACAGATGGAAGTAAAAAAAATAGGAATATAAAAATATTCAAATATTTATGTAATACTTGATTAAATATACATATCCTCGGAATTTATAAAATTAACGTGAATAGTTGTCATGGCACTGCCTAACAGAACTTTCTGTGATGATGAAAATATTCTATATTGGTGCTGTTCTATAGTACCACCTGGGGTTCCTGAGTACTTGAAATGTGACAAGTTCTACTGATAAGTGACTTTTAAATTTTATTAATTTTAATTTGAATGTAAATAGCCATACATAGTTAGTGGCTACTACTTTGGACAATATAAATCTAACACGTTCCCCTCACTCTATAAACATCTTACAAATTATAGAAGTTCAGAAATTATAGAACTATATATATTGGCAGTCAGTCATTTAAATCTGGATTTTTGGTTACTGCATTACATATGCTATTATTTCTGAATCATGTCTTTTCTGATCATCTGCCTCAAACACTATAGGACAAGAGACAATGGTTTAGAGAAAAACAAATTCTCAGAATAAACCAAGCAAACAAACAAACAAAAAAAAACCCCACTGCCACCGAGTCAATTCCTACTCATAGTGACCCTATATAGGACTGAGCAGATTGTCCCATAGGGTTTCCAAGGCTGTAAATCTTTACAGAAACAGATTGCCTCATCTTTCTCCTGTGGAGTGGCTGGTGGGTTCAAACCACCAACAGTCTGGTTAGCAGTTGAATGCTTTAACCACTTCGCCACCAGAGCTCTTTATTCGCAGAATAGAAGCTTTGAAATCAGCCTACATTATACATAGGACTGCAATAGTGAACTACCACAATTTGGCTGCCTCATGCTTAAATAGGAATCAAATGAACATAAGTCATTATGTTATTAAAACTTTATTTTAAATCATGAAATAGATATTTATACCAACGGATATTATGGGTTGGCAAGGTAGTATAAATTAAACAAAATCCCCAACCTGAAGAATCTTAGAAAAGAGGTAAGCAAATTTTTCTCTCTCTTTTGCTCTCCCTCTCTATTTTGACAGGGAATTTAGCTGGCCAGCATTAATGTGTGGAAGAAAAAACTTCTATTATTACCCTGAAAGTAGAAATTTACTTTGTATAATAATAGTTACAAAACTGCTACAAATCATACAAGTAAGCTATGGTAACCCTTCTCAACATAAACACTACCTTAGAAGATATTTAAGGAAAAGTTTTCTGTAACTTGCCTCTACTTATGGTGTAAAATGTAGGTTTAAAAAGGTTTAAGGGTAATAGTAGCATCAAACTTGAAGAATTTAGATTCCATATGTTGATGCGATTCTGATCATGAAGTTTTACATGCAATTCAGTTTTCTAGACAGAAAGAAATGAGAGTCTCTCTTCTGACTAGTGGGGGGAAAAAAAATTACTTACCAAGGTAAACTTGGGATCCTTCCAATGACGTTCCTCCCAAGGAGTTATTCATGTGTTCATAAAGCTCCTATAAAGCATAGGTTTCATTTAGAACATTTGTATCACTTTTGACAATGAATCAGAGGTATGATGATTAGCAAAACATTGGTTCCTTAAATGGGGCAATCTGTTTTTGCTAGGCCCTAAATTTAGAGACAATCAAGGTTTCTCTGTAACCTTGATCAATTCCAGCTCTCATTCCTTCTCTTCCAACATGAGCCATATCAGAAAAGCTCTAGACAGAAAGTGGGAAAGGTTTCCCGGAGTGTTCTTCTCTCCCTCTACATTTCAGAATTTGATTTACTTAGATGGCGGCTTGGAATTCTAGGATAAATCCCCTCTGCCTCCTTGCTAAATAAGTAACTGCCTAACTCTCACTAGGTTCAGAACAGAATCCAGGATGCTTTGTACATTCAAGGCAGCCTTGAGAAAAACATGTTACCCACCTTTAATAAAACGTGTTTTATCTGGTTTTACTATGGAAGCTGGGAATTAGAAGCTTAACATGTAGACATACTGTGCAATTTACTTAAAAGATAAGCAATTTCATGGAGGTATTGCCAGAGGAAAAGGGCTGTCATCCATTAAGAGGAACATTTATTTTATAGTAACTTGTAGCCATTATTTCCGAATAAAAGGCAGTTTTACATTATAACTATCATTTTAATCCTTGTAACAAAGCAGAATGTTTTTCCTAAGTTAAGCAATGATCATCTCTTACAGTATAACTGATGAACCTGCTTTATTTATTTTTTTAAATTTTATTGTGATTTGAGTGAAAGTTTACAGAGCAAATTCATCTTCCCTACACCAGTTCACACTTTGTCTCATGACATTGACTGTAATTTCCCACAATGCAACAGCTCCCCTCTCACTTCCTCGCCATAGTTATCTCTTCCCTTGTCCTTCCCTCCCATGCACTCCTGCCCCTTGAGCTATCTCACTGTGTATGCACAGCCCTTCTATTCCATCATGACTGATCTCTCCAAGGAGTGTATCTACCTCATGTAAATGTTCAGCTCATATGTTCAGTTTTTTGTTTGGCTGGAAGCCATGAGTGAGTTCAATTCCAGACCTGAAGGGCAGCTATGGGCCATAGTCTCAGAGGTTCCACCAAGCTCTATAAGACTAGCAAACTTGGTCTCCCCCCTTTTTTCTTTTTTAATATTTTGAATTTTATTCCACATTGGTCTCACATTCTATCCAGGATCTCCTACACAGATCCTCGTCTGAGGGGCAAATAGATAGCTGGGCACCATCTAGTTCTTCTGGTCTCACAGTAAGTGGTATAGGCTGAGGGTTGCATGCTGTACCAGTCCCTCAGACTAATTGTTTCCATGCATCTTTGCTCTTTATTCTTCTTTGCTCGGAGGAGGAGAGACCCATCGTTGCATCTAGATGGCTGCTTGCAAGTTTTTAAGATCCCTGTCCCTGCTCACCAAAGTAGGATGTGGAACAATGTTTTGGTGTAGTACATTATGCCAACTGAGCTTGATATCTCCTGTGACCATGGTCCCTAGCCCACAGGTCCAACTACTTCTTCCCTCTGGGTAGCTGGCTGTGGCCAAGAAGTGACTACAACTAGGTCCTTTGTCTGCTCTACTACATACCTAGAAATTCTTATAGTACATACAAATACACTTGTAGAAACATTGTCTGCCAACCCTATATATGGTCATGGGCACATTCCCCCCTGCTTAAACATACCTAATTGTTCAGCCTGTCCACCCATCTATCTACCTGTAGATCAATGTTTGCCATCACTGACAATGCAGTACTATATGTGCAAAAGGGTTCATCTTTGTTGTGTGTACCTCCCATGCACCACTCTTTGTCTACTTGCTTTTTGACTCTGTCTTCGGGCAAGCACATCTAGAAAGAGGTATAAAGTTACCTTTAGAATGGAAATTTGGGAAAAATCCTTTTCTTCAAAATATGCATGTGTAATGAGTTGAAGTTTTGCTTGCAGTAAGCCATACAGAGGCTTGAAGAAAAAAAGAAAAATTACCATAAGGTTGAGAATAGTAAAACACAAACACAAGCACACATACCCTTTTTAGTTTGAAGAGCGAGGGAAAAAGTTAGTAATTGTCAACTTTAGTGCTTCATTATTTTCACAGCTGGAAGCTGAGGAGTCACCTGTTCTGGCTCTTTGGCTGCGGGTAAAGAACGCCTGAACCACTGTCCCAGAAGAGTGGTTAAGAGTGTGGGCTCAGACTGCCTAGATCTGGCTCCATCACTCACTGCCTAACTCTGAACACTTAACCTCCCCACATCTGTTTTCTGACCTGAAAATAAGTACGTACATTAAAAAACAGTACATCTAATGCAGTTACTTTAAAGATTAAATAACATAGGTTAGTAGAATATCTGGCATATAGAAAGCACTCAAACATCAGCTATTATTAACATAAGATTTAAAACATATTCTAATTCTACAAACGGGAGCTCTGGTAGCATAGTTGCCTAAGGCACTTGACTGCTAACAAGAAAGCTGGCAGTTCAAATCCACTAGTCACTCCTCAGAAGGAAGATGGACAATCTACTTCCGTAGTGATACTGCCTCGGAAACCCAAGGAGGGGTCACTATGAGTCGAGTCCGACTCAACGGCACGTAACAACAACGACAATTCTACAAACTGTTCTGCTGGCTTGTGGTAACATTTATTTAATCATCCATACAGCAGCTCATTCTTCCATCTAGTTGAACACTCATTATTAAATTTAAGTTAATTCCCCTTTGTGTCTTTTATGAAGGCTTAGAACGATTAGTCTGGGTCTTTTATAATAATAATAATAATAATAATACTTTTGTACACTTGAACAAAGTTATTCTTTAATTTTTATTTCTCCTATTTAAGACCCTTTTCTACCAATCTATTTTCCATCCCTTTATTTTTAATATTCTTTTCTAGATATTCTGATTTCTATAATCTTTTTAGGATACAGAGACTGGTACTGTATATATACTCTAATTAGTTAAAACTAGTAATACTGGAGTAGTTTTTCCCCCAGTCTCACTCTTAATACCATCATTATTACCATCTAAGTTGAAGATCATCATACTTTTATATATAGACTACAATGCACTAGGAACAACCAGGGCTTGCGAGGCGTCTGTTTTAGAGACAGATAAAACTGTATTTTCATTCAGATTTTATACTTACTAGCAATATGTTTAAAAAGGAGCTCTGGTGGCGCAGTGCCCAAGGCATTTGACTGCTAACTAGAAGGTTGGTGGTTCAAACCCACTAGGTGCTCCTTGGAAGGATGATGGGGCAATCTACTTCTGTAAAGATTCACCACCTTGGGGGTCACTGTGAATTGGAATCTACTCCATGGCAGTGGGTTTTCAGTTGTATGTCTAAGGAGCTCTAGCTGTGCAATAGTTAAGCATAGCTGCTGACCAAAGGTCAGCCGTTTGAACCCACTAGTGCTCTGCAGGAAATAAGACCTGGAGATCCGTTCCCATAAAGATTAAACGAAACAAAACAACCAAACTCACTGCTGTAGAATCAAATCTGACTCATAGTGATCCCTCCTTAGGTTTCCGAGGTGGTATCCCTATGGAAGTAGACTACTTCATCTTCCTTCTGAGGAGTGGCTGGTGGGTTTGAACTCCAGCCTTCTGGTTAGCAGTCAAATGCCTTAGGCACTACGCCACCAGAGCTCCTATAGCCTAGGAAACTCTTTGGGGGCAGTTTTACTCTATACTAGAGAGTCCCTATGAATCAAGGCTTATGGTACATACCATTACAACCAATAGTTATATATTTATGCAAAATTAGACATATTTTTTCCTCTGAGATGTGTCTTTATTTGTAAAATGAGAGTAGTAATCACCTCAATGCTATTAGAATTAAAATAATAATTATATTTTAAATATGATCAGTAAAGAATCAATACCTGATATATAGGTACTCTCATTAAAATAAATGTTGTCTTCTTATAATTGTTCTTTGAGAACTGGTTACTCAGAAAGTCTTTCAATGTGTTGCATTTGCTATAGTATCTAGTACTCCTGTGCTTTGCTCATCTGGTCCAGTACAAAAAAAGTAATTCACTGATATATATTAGAAACTATATACAGAAATCAGAATGTAAGACCCTTCTTTTCTATATTTAAAATTCTAATTTGGAAAAAAACATGTTGATCCTGAAAATCTTATTTTGTAAGACAGTTTCAGTAATAAGTAATTATTCATTATACACATATTTACCAATCTCCTTGATTCAGAATTTTAGAACAGCAAGAGAGCATATGCACAGGCATGGATAGTAGTCTGAATCTGCAGGAATAAATAAATAAAGCCCCTATTTCCCCCTCTGCATAATAGGAAGCTTACAGAGATGCTGTTGGGCAATGTGACACCTTGGTAAGGAGGCGGGTGAGAAAGACAAAGAGAAGACAAAGGGAGGCTCCTTAACAAAATGGAGAATCGTAAAAAATTCTTGCAACTATATGTGAGAACACAGGCCACACAGGAAAGAATCTGGATTTTACACAAGGTATTAGTTTAAAAAATTCTAAAGAGAAGAATTTGTTCCTCTATTAATAACACTATACCATAACTATCTATCACAAAATCTTTTTATGGAATTATATCTTTATACAGATTTTCTATTATATTTTTATTAAAATAAGGACTTAAAGAATAAAGTTAGGCCCTAGGCTATAAAATGAAGTTTTTTAATTTAGACAGTGAATACCACACAGCATATTCACTCTCTAATATGTTAGATAATTGTTCCATTATTCTAAGTGGTATCTTTGTGATTCAGAAGAGTTAATTTCCAAATTTCTAAAATATCTGATCCCCAGATAATGGTTTATGCGTGATACTTGAGATTAATGTTGTTATCAAAATGAAAATATTTAAAATTAAGTAATCATTGATGATAAACTCTCTAAATGATCTCACTCTTTCCTCCCCAGATAAGTGTTAGTCCTTGAAGAACAAAGGATTTACTGTGAAAGAGTCGTTTTGGGTCACTAGATTGGAAAACAAAAGTAACCAAACTGGTTACAGAAGCAGAGCAAAGAGGGCAAAGAGAAACTAAGAAAGACAGAATGACACTTAACACATCACACACACATTGTCTCTCTCACTCTCTATCCTTACTACGAACTCACATTTAAAAAAATGTATATTCCATAAATGAATCTATACACTACTTTCGCTTTTTAAAAAATAGGAGGTATACTTTTTATAAAGTAAACTTATTTGGTAAATTCTAAGAGAAAATTTTTAAAATCCAGAATCATCCTTTAATAAATGCTAGTGGTTTTTGTTTGCTTTTTTCTTGCTGTAGTATTCAAATTGATCGTTAATATGGAACCAATACACATAAAATCTAACTTCCTATAAATGTTAGTTCCTTACTATCAACCCAGCAAGTAATTGCATAGAAAACTTTTGAACTAACCCTTTAGACAGTAGTTCTTATTTTGGGTATCAGATTGCTCTAACAATGTGGTGACAGCTATTGACCCAAACTCACAAAAAGCAGAAATCAATTTTAGGGGAATTATGGATACCCTAAAGACCATCAATTAATTTATTTGACCTTTTAGAAGTCCCCTAGATTCCAGGTTAAGCTTTACTTTAGGTTAACTGTAGAAATGTCAGAAACATATGCATATAGTAATCACATAGATCTAAGATTAATATGATACAATTTAGATTTTCCCCACAGAGGGAATTTGGGGCATGATAGCTTACATTTAGGTATTTGATAGATTACTAGTAAGGATGTTATTACCCCATTAGTAATAAACAAAGGAGCTCTGGTGGCATAGTGCCTAAGGCATTTGACTGCTAACCAGAAAGCTGGTGGCTCAAACCCAGCCACTTCTCAGAAGGAAGACTGGGCAATCTACTTTCTTAGAGATACTGCCTCGTAAACCCAAGGTAGGATCACTATGGGTCGGATCTGACTCAATGGTAGTGAGCTTGGCTTTAGTAATAAACATGGAACATCACAAATGACTTAATGATGAAAGCTATAAAAAAACAACAAATTTTATATATTTTCTTTTCAAAAATAAAAAGTTAAAATGACTTTTGCATCTGAACAATGTACACAGAAGAAACACAGTTCTGAAGTACTACATTAGTATACAATTTCATGTCATTTCCTTTTCTCAAATATTTTGTTTTTAAAAAGCAAGGCTAAAATGTTTCATTATAATGAGTTAGTTATACAGAAGTGTCAACAAAATTTTTTTAAACTCAATTTATATATTTATACTAACTAATTTGAACATGAACTTCTGTATCATTAAAAATATCTGAGTAACTATGATATTTTGAAAATATTTCAGTAAAATATTACTTAACCAAAGGCTAGGGAAAAAACAAAAATGGATACATGAAATATATCATAAACCTTGTTTTTGTCAAGTGTCAACTTCCTTCCCAACAATCTATCCATCCGATCTCCTCCTTCTTCCCTAATCTTGGGCAAAAATATAAATTAGAGTAAAACTGCTGAGAGGCAAATAGAAAGAGGAGATACAAGACCCTAACTAATGAGACTCTGATTAAATTTTCCCAAACATGTTTAATATGCTATCACTTTCATAAAGCTCTTCTTATTCTAATAATGTCTTATCCTCAGTTTTCCTTGAATGTTTAATGAACACAAGAATAGATTAGTGGGTTTCTTACCAGCTTGCTTAGAACACAGACACTTTTCTGAACGGTTTCTCTGGTGACATCTGCTTGTCTTACTTTCAATGCCTATCATAAACAAACAGGTATTATTAGAAATATTTCACTGTCATATTAAGACTCATATTTTTCTAAACAAATATAGCAATTAAATAGAAGAAATTTTTTGCGTTTAGTTAATTAAATTCAAAAGGTATTTATTTATTGAGCACTTCAGAAAATGGAATGAAAAGCTATCAGTCAGGGCACTCTGCCAGAATCTGGGCCAGGCACTGGGACTGTAACAGTGAAAAGATAATCTGTGCTCTCAAGGGAGAACATTTTATGCTTAAATCATCACATCCATAACGCATATCAGCTGCTCGTGGTCTTGGTTTTAAAACGCGCAGCCCTTTCAGAGAACACTGTTTCCTATGAGAAGAGACTAGTTTAAGAAAGGACAAAAACTAGCCTGTTTCTGCAAAAATGGAAGGACTGCCATAGCAGTTTTGTTAAGTTGGTTATTCTATGATGGCTATACTCTGGGGAGCTCTGGTAGCACTGTGGTTAAAGCACTGGGCTGATAACCAAAAGGTTGGTGGTTCAAACCTACCTGCTGCTCCATAGGAGAACGATGAGGCAGTCTGCTTCCATAAAGATTTAGTCTTGGAAACCCTATAGGAGTCCTACGGGGCTTACTATGAGTTGGCAAGAATGCAGTGGCAGTGTGTGGGGCTTACAGTCTATCCTGGAGGACTAGCATTATGGTAGCTCAGCTCTGAGCATGTAATTCACACTCCTTGGTGAATCTGAGAACATCACATGAGATTTCCACAGTACTCTGCTAGTACAGAACAAGACTTGATTTGATCAAACTCAGGTAAGGCTGTGAGGGAAGTAAAAAAAACTCCTCCCCTTCTAGTGCACTGCCTGAGAAGGTATTAAAAACAACAACAAAAGAAAAACCCAAAAAGAACCTAAAGGTGTTCTCTCTTCTGGACCAGGACTACCGTCACTCTCCAAAGTCCAAAGACCATGGTTTACTTCCATTTTCCTAGCAAAGAAACCCATATTTAAGTTTCTTTTCCTCAAGTTTCCAAAAGATCTAGTTTCTGGTGGCCAATTCTTTTACTTTCTTGTCTTTGGAGAAACCAAATCATAGAATTTATTCCAAAATCTAAGATAATTAAGATTCTTATTCCCATTTCTCCAATGGCTCAAAAATAAAAAACAAAAACTTCCAAAATGCTTTTGTTCCTCTACAGTCCGAAAACCAACCAATCCCCCCCCCCCAAAAAAAACCTACCAAAAATCAGGGTGCTTTCTGCTGTATAGTCAAGGAATAATCCAGAATAGTGATGCAATATGAAATATCCCTATTTATGTCAAAAAATTTTTAATCTTGTGGTGGCTTGGTAGTTAAGCACTTAGCTGTTAGGCTGTTAACTGAAAGGTCAGTGGTTCAAATCCACCCACCAGCTGCTCCATAGGAGAAAAGTGAGGCAGTCTGATTCCATAAAGATTTACAGCCTTAGAAACCCCACAGGGCAGTTCTACTTTGTCCTATATGGTCACTATGAGTTGGGATCAACTCTCTGGCAAGGGGTTTAGTTTTTCTGATTTTATGTTAATTAAATAATCCTTTTGGGGAACAAAGATCTAATCTGAGGAAAGCTATAGGCCTAGGGCAGCAGTTGCCCAGGAATAAAGCCCAAAAGGCAGGAAGGGATAGGAAAGAAGGACAAATGGAAATGGTAAATATAAAGAGAAGTGGGATGAGTGCTGTTACATTGTGAGGATTGTAATCAATGTCACAAAATGAAATGTGTATTAATTGTTGAATGAAAAATCAATTTGCTCTGTGAACTTTCACCCAAAGCACAATAAAAAGGTGAAAGAATAAAATAAAAAAAGCTGTAGACTTTTTCCACAGAAAAATGAATATATACATTTTTACAAACAGTTAAAATTTGGGGAAGAGACTTGGTTTCCTTGAAGCCTGCCCATGGGTCATAGTAAGAACTCACCTCTGTATTACTGCTACCTATCCTGAACTTAGAGCTGACATCTCCCTAAGGACTAAGGGGCCTCTGTGTCTTCCAGTGATTGATGACTGCTAAATGGTTATTAAGTCAAAAGTAAAGACTTTCCTTCAAGTTATTTTCCACCCCTCTAACTTGACTGGAGGAGCTCTGGTGGCATAGTGCCCAAGGCATTTGACTGCTAACCAGAAGTCTGGTAGTTCAAACCCACCAGCCACTCCTCAGAAGGAAGACTGGAGATACTTCCTCAGAAATTCAAGGAGGGGTCGCTATGAGTCGGAATCAACTCGAAGGCAGTAAGTTTGGTTTTGGTTAACTTGACTGGATTTATCTAACAGGTGTCCCAGTTTAATTCAAAAGGAATTAGAAGTCTTTCTCCTCAGCTCTAGGTCCCTCTGATACCTGGCTTATCTACCTGGTCAGTCTGAGACAAGGCTAGGAAAATTAGGAGAAATGGGTAACCTTAACATACTCTGGGGGGGCTCTGGTAGCATAGTGCCTAATGCACTTGACTGTTAATCAGAAGGCTGGTGGTTCAAACCCACCAGCCACTCCTTGGGAGGAAGGTTGGGCAATCCTACTTCCGTAGTGGCACTGCCTCGGCAACCTAAGGAGGGGTCGCTATGAGTTGGACCGATGGCACATAACAATAATAACAACAACAACAACAACAACAATATACTCTGGAGTGGGTCAGGTCCAGGAGGTAGGAGACACAGGCAATATGTAACGCCATTAAAAGGCTCTGCAGAGCATGAGAATAGTTGATAATTTAACAGCTGGAAGGGGTAAGATGGCTTCGGAAAAATAAGCTCATTAGTGTTTACATATGATCTGCATCGGTGAGGTACGAGGTAGCAAAAGGAAGAAATTTCCAAGAGTGGGTTGCAGTATATATGTAAGAATAACAGTATATAAAGAAATTAAATGTGGAAAGCTGATAGGTTAACTCTTATTCTCAGGTTTCTTGTATATTTAACTTTACATTCAGTTATTCGTAGACATTTACTGAGTGCATCCTATGTTCCAGGCCCTGTGCTTCGAAGGTTATTTCTCAGTACAGGTAACCCCTGAGACCTGACTAAAGGGCAACTCCTACCTGCCCTTTAATGTTATGTAAATTTTCTCTCACTCTGAAACAACTGGGAGCTCTGACAGTGTAGTGCCTAAGACATTTATCTACTAACCAGAAGCCTGGTGGTTCAAACCCACCAGCCACTTCTTGGAAGGACGGTTGGGAGATCTACTTCGTAGTGATACCACCTCGGAAACCCAAGGAGGGGTCACTATGAGTAGGATCTGACTTGACAGCCATGAGGTTTTTGGTGGAAACAACTGAACCAACCCCTACCCCTGCTCCCAACAAATTCTTTATTTGCTGCCCATGCAGCTTTTAAATCACTGAAAAGGTTTACAGAGTCTTTTCTTGCACTAAAATAAGGCTAAAAAAGAACCAATGCACCCGTTCTGACTTACCTACAAATTCTTAAAGACACACTCAGGAAGAGATCTGGTTCTTAACCAGGGGACTGTCTGTAGTTAACTACTGTAGGTATTCTAGAATTTATACCTGCACTTTATTTTTAAATGATTCAGGGGGAAAAAAGTACACATACAAAGCAAATTTGGAAGGATGTTAACAACTGTTGAATCCAGGTAGTGGGTACACAGCTGTTCAGTGTATTATTTTAATCATCTGTATATTTGAATTTTTCATTATATAAAAAGTTAGAAAAATTTTTTTAAAAATTTGCTATTTATTCATCAGAGAGCTCCAGTAGTGTAGTGCCTAAGGCACTTGACTGCTAACCAGAAGGCTGGTGGTTCAAACCCACCAGCCACTCCCTGGAAGGAAAGTTGGGCAATCTACTTCCGAAGTGATACCGCCTTGGAAACCCAAGGAGGGGTCGCTATGGTCCGACTCGACGGCACACAACAACAACAATTTACTCATCTGAGGTAGTTTTTAAACTTATAGCTGCTGAGTTCTGCTTTCAAAGATTCTAATTCCCTAAGTGGGAGGCAAGAACAGGCCTGGGTAGTTTTTCTAAAAGTTTCCAAATAATTATGGTTAAAAGCCTTGTTTCAGAGTAGTGGTTCTCAATTTTGGCTATATATTAGAATCATCTGGGGGGCTTTTAAAACTGATGTACAAAATATTAAATTAGAATCTCTGCGAATAGAATCCAGTCATCTCTAGTCTTTAAAGCTCCTCCAGGTGATTCCAACATGCAGCCAAGGTTGAGAATCACTGCTTCAGAGTTTCAACAACCTAATAATAGGAGCTTTGATGGCATAGTGCCTATGGCGTTTGACTGTTAACCAGAAGATTGGCAGTTCAAACTGACCAGCCACTCTGCAGAAGAGTGGGCAATCTACATCTGTAAAGATTTACCGCCTTGGAAACCCAAGAGGGGCCACTATGACTCAGCATCGACTCTATGGCAGTGATTTTATTTTTAATGAGAAGGAATTTACTCATCAAGATCTTCCCGTCAGAAAAAAGCAATGCTGTTCAAACATAAAAGATGGGGCTATCCGTCTACAAATAATTAATATAATGTGAGTTATCGGAAGCCACTGTATGTACATTCTACCACTTCTAAAATGATTTTTTAAAAATAATACAGCACACGTTGTTGCTGTGTAACAATTCTGATTCATAGTGACTCTATATGACTCTATATGAGTAGAACTGCCTCATAGGGTTTCCTAGGCTGTAATCTTTATGGGAGCAGATCACCAGGTTTGTCTTTCCTCAGAGCAGCTGGTAAGTTTGAACTGCTGACCTTTCAATTCATAGCTGAGTGCTTAACCATTGTGCCATCAGGGCTCCTTCCATACATCACCCTCTCCATTTTTCTAAGTTATGGAGTAAGCACTGGAAATAGAAAATCCAAGGAAACCATGAAATTGAAATACAATGTGGTGAAGACAAATGGATAATTTAGGTATCACTACCTAAAAGCAATGTGCAAAATATTTTATGGTACACGTATAATCATATTCACCAATTTATAAATACATTTGTATGAACAATCTGGTAACTTTAGAAAAATAGCTACAAACTATTTATAAAAACTTAAAACAGTATCACAGGTAGCACATGAAAAAGATGCTTTCCCCAATTTTACATTTTAAGTGGCCAAAACCTGAAAGAATTTTTGTTTTTATTTTTTAATTCACCATAACTATCATACCTTGGCTTCAATTTGTCGATAGCATGAGATTCCATATATTGTGGCTCCATTTCCATTTCTGGGTGGCAGGTGAAAATACACAGTATCTAAGAAATGTATAGAAAAATGTTTAATACTGAAGTAAATTACCCTTACTAATAAATAATGGAATTAGAAGTTATCATGATTTAGTCAGTAAGCCAAAAATGATGATATAACAAAAAAACCATTTCATACTTATTCCCAGCATCACAACTACTGGTTTCTCAGAATTCCTCATTATCTTAAAATGTACACTTCCACCAAGAGGCTGAAATTATAACAAGTCAAACTAAGACTACAATCACTTAACTCAGAAAGCACCTAATATGTGTGGGGTTGTTCAGATTTTTAAAAAAGTAGATTGACATAAAAATCAAAGGCAACACATGAACCTTAAATGGATCCAAGAATTTTTTTTTTTTTAATTGTGATTTGGGTGAAAGTTTATAGAGCAAATTCATTTTCCATTCAACAGTTGATACACATTTTTTGGCGACACTGACTGCAATCCCCACAATGTAACAGTTCTCTTTCCACTTCCTCCCTGTGTTTACCTTTTCCCTGTGTCCTTTCCTATGCATTCCTGCCCTCTGAGCTCTCTCCTTGTGCAAATGCTGCCCTCTGCTCTCCCATGGTTGATTGTTCTAAGAAGTGTACCTACCTGCTATAATTGTTCACCTTGTAGGCCTATTACTTGGCTAGAAGCCATGGTGTTGTTGTTATGTGCTGTCGAGTAGAACCCGACTCATAGTGACCCCTCCTTGAGTTTCCGAGGCAGTATCACTACGGAAGTAGATTGCCTCATCTTCCTTCCGAGGAGTGGCTGGTGGGTTTGAACCGCCAGCCTTCTAGTTAGCAATCAAGTTAAGTGCCTTAGCCACTATGCTACCAGAGCTCCCTAGAAGCCATGGTAGTAAGTTCAATTCCAGGCCCAACGGCTGACTAGGGGCTATAGTTTTGGGAGTTTCATCAGACCAGTAACCTTGGTCTTTTTTTTTCTTTTATGATTCTGAGTTTGTCCCACATTTTTCTCCCACTTTATTCAGGATTTCCAAGGCTCCAAGGAATTCTTGGGACAATTAGGGAAATCTGAACATAAGATTTGATATTAGATCCAATCTTTATGGAAATGCTGCTAAACCTTTTAGCTGTGACAATGGTATTGGAAGTTTCCTTGGGGAGTAGAAAGGTAAGTTTCAGCAGGGGGTCGAAATGGAATGAACCAGTTTGAAGCCCTGGATAAAATACAGTTTTCATTAAGTCACACAAAGTACTCATTTATAGGTGACAGACAGCACTGCTTTCTTTGAAGATGTTAACATGCTCTGCAGGCATGCAGGCAAACTTTTAAGCAAAGCATTGTGATAGCAATGGGCCCAGGGGTAAAGAATCGTTCCCAGCTGTTTCCAGGTGGGCATCTGAGTACTAACCAACTTAGTAAATTTGCAGCTGGAGTCCCAACCAACCTGTAGGTGGGGCAGGCAGGGCCCTTTAGTTAGCTTCTAAGAAGACAAGAGCATAAATGGAGGAATTGCTGCCCGTATGTAGTACATGGCCTAATGTGGCTAATCACTTATTTTAGCTAGGGCTCCTAGAAGAAGGCTAGCCAAGGTTCACCAACCATTGGCAATATAAGCCTGGTACTCTTCTGGAGGTCCTCAAAACATGACCAGTCACCTCCAAACAACTATTTAAGTAATTAAGTGTGATAACAGGCCAAAGGCCCTTCATTCACCAAAATGCATAGAATCTAAGATGTCTTAGCAAATAAAAAAAAAAAAAAGGCATCTACTAATTGCTCCACTGTCTCTTACATACCTTCTTGATAGTTGTGTGCACCATCTGGTAAGGCAAGGAAGGGCAAATACTTCCATTCTTCAGGTAAAGTGTGGCTGTCATGTCCATCTCCTGGAATCAGGGGCGGGTAAGAGAATTCAACCTAAAATGGTAAGGAATGTTAGCTAAAAGGCTGTTGATCATAGGGAGGACCAAGAATGATTTTAATCCCTGAATGACAGAAGTGGGGATACGCTCCACTTATTGATGCCCTGAGACATGACCAGCAAACCTAAGACATGGGAGACAAAAGGAAAAGAAAGGCATAAATGAAGGAAAGATTTGAAGCCTTTTTTCCTTTCTGATTTGTGGTTTGGTGTGCTTTAGTGTGCTTAAGACAAGAGGGGTAGGGGTATTGGTGGTGATAGTGGTGGTATCCAGATTGGAAATTTAGATTTGGGATGATCACTGAAGCCATGGAGCCCTGAGGAAAACCAACATACTACCGAATGAGTAGAAGAGGTCCAACAAAGGGGCCTAAGAAGTTAAGTGAAGATCTAGGTTTGCTCCATTATCAATTGGGTCCCTTGCTTCCAGGACTTGTAGCTGTGAGCTTAGGGTTTTGATGGAGTTCTGTTAGAGGAAAGTGGGGAGGATTAACTAACACTTCAGGTGATTTTGAGAATGAGAACAGACCACAGAACCGTCAATGAAGTCTCTCCAGAAGTCTGTCTTAAAGAAATAGCAATGTTTTTAGTATGCATCCCCAGTTTCTAATACTGTCCATGTTTGTTAGATTTTTCTGTTTTCATTTCTTTTTGTTATTTTAGTAAGACTTTTGAAGAGAAAGGCAGAATTAATAGATGGGATTTGTTGTTGTTGTTGTTATGTGCCCTCGAGTCATACCTGACTCATAGCCACCCCGAGGCAGTATCATTATGGAAGTAGATTGCTCAACCTTACCATTTTGACTTTTAAGTTCTAGGTAGCTTATGCTTTTTCATTCAAAATATATCTAAACAGGAATTTGCATATGTGTTAGTAATATACACTAAATTGGGAACAATATTAAGAATAAGAATCACATTTAGATTCCATCTGTAATGTAGAAAGATGTGATGATATCTTATCTGCTCATATTTCAATGGAATCAAGCTGCCATGTGAGTCACAGTCATCCTTATAAGGGGAGGCAGAAGAGTTAAAGAGATTTGATGCTGGCTATGTGGGCAAAGCTATACCATTGGCTTTGAAGGTGGAGGAAGGAATGCTGAGCAAAGAAACGCAGGTTATCTCCAGAAGCTGGAAAAGGCAAGAAAAATGATTTTTATCTAGAGGCTTCAGAAGGAATGCAGCCCTGCTCCAGAATTCTATAAATAATAAATTTGCATTGTTTTAAGCACTAAGTTTGTGGTAATTTGTTACAGAAAACTAATACATACTCCTAAATTTAAAAAGCAAGCAGAGTATCAGTAGACACAGTATAATCCTATTTATATACTGTTATTCCATATATGCAAAATTATACTTATTAATTTATATACATACTTAAACTACATACACTCCAAGGACTTTTATGGGTAAAACTTATGGCCCTTCTTGGCTGATTTCAGATAATGTTTCCCCGCTACTCATAAGGATTTTCAGTGGTCAGTTTTTTTCAGTAGTGGACAGGGCCACATCCTTCTTACTAGTCAGTCTGAGTCTGGAAGCTCCGTTGAAACCTGTCCGCCATGGGTGACCTTGCTGGTATTTGAAATAATGGTGGCATAGCTTCTAGCATCACAACAACACACAAGCCACCACACTACAACAAACTGACAGATGAGTGGTGACTTCTTTAGGTTGGAAACTCAAAATATGATTGGGGAAGAGGTGCCTCCTCAAAACAGAGTTGACCTTAATGGTGTGGATTGAGTTAAGATTTTGGGATCTTCATTTGCTGATGTAGCATAGCTCAAAATGAGAAGAAACAGCGGCTAACATCCATTAATAATCAGAACATGGTATGTATAGAGTATACCAAAAAATCCAAACTCTCTACCATTGTTTTTGATTCCAACTCATAGTGACCCAACAGGAGAGAGTTGAACTACCCCATAGAGTTTCCAAGGCTGTAAATCTTTACGAAAGCAGACTGACTCATCTTTCTCTCAACAAGTGACTGGTAGGTTCAAACTGCCAAACTTTTGATCAGTAGCCCAGTAATTTAACCATACCACCCCCAGATTACAGAGTATGAATCTAGCTAAACTGGAAGCTGTCAAAGATGAAATGGAATGCATAAAGATCGATATTTTAGGCATTATATATTTCAGTAAGCTGAAATGGACTGGTATTGGGCATTTTGAATCAGACAATCATATGATCTACTATAGCATAGTGGCTAAGACACTTGCCTGCTAACCAGACGGCTGGCGGTTCAAACCCACCAGCCACTCCTCGGAAGGAAGGTTGGGCAATCCTACTTCCGTAGTGATACTGCCTCGGAAACCCAAGGAGGGGTCGCTATGAGTCGGGGCTGACTCGACAGCACATAACAACAACAACAACAACTATGCCGGGAATGACACTGTCACATTCATTATCAAAAAGAACATTTCAGGATCTATCCTGAACTACGATGCTGTTAGTGATAGGATAATATCTATACACCAACAAGGAAGACCAGTTAATACTACTATTATTCAAATTTACACACTAGCCAAAGATGAAGAAATTGAGTATTTTTACCAACCGCTGTAGTCTGAAATTGATCAAACGTGCAATCAAGGTGTATTGATAATTACTGGTGATTGTAATGTAAAAGTCAGAAACAAAGAACCATGGGTAGTTGGAAAATATGGCCTTGGTGACAGAAATGATGCTAGAGATTGCATGATAGAATTTTTCACAATGAATGACTTATTCATTACAAATACCTTTTCTCAACGACATAAACAGCAACTATACATGTGCACCTTCACCAGACAGAATATACAGAAATCAAATTGACTACATCTGTGGAAAGAGATGATGGAGAAGCTTAATATTATCAGTCACAACAAGGCCAGGGGCTAACTGTGAAACAAACCATCAACTGCTTATATGCAAGTTTCAGCTGAAGCTGAAGAAAATTAAAACAAGTCCATGAGAGGCAAAATATGACTTTGAGTATATCTGACCTGAATTTAGAGACCATGTGAAGAACAGATTTGATGCAATGAACACCAGTGACCAAAGACTAGATGAGTTGTGGGATGCTATCTATGACATCATACATGAAGAAAGCACATGGTCATTAAAAAGACAGGAAAGGAAGAACAAAATAGATGTCAGAACAGACTCTGAAAACTTGCTCTGAATGGCGAGTAGCTAAGTGAATGAAAGAAATGACAAAGTAAAAGAGCTGAACAGAAGATTTCAAAGGGCAGCTCAAGAGGACAAAGTAAAGCATTATAATGAAATAATGCAAAGACCTGAAGTTGGAAAATTAAAGAGAAATAACATGCTCAGCATTTCTCGTGCTGAAAGAACTGAAGAAAAAAATTCAAGCCTCGAGTTGCAATACTGAAGGATTCTGTGGGCAAGATGTTTATTGAATGATGCAGGAAGCATCAAAAAAAAAAAAAAAAAAAAAGGAAAGAATACACAGAGTGACTGTACCAGAAATAACTGATTGATGTTCAACTATTTCAGAAGGTAGCATATGATCAAGAACCAATGGTACTGAAGGAAGAAGTCCAAGCTGCACTGAAGGAACTGACAAAAAACAAGGCTACAGGAATTGATGAAATACCCATTAAGATGTTTCACTCATTTATGCCAATTTGGAAGATAGCTACCTGGCTAATTGACTGGACAAGATCCATATTTGTGCCCATTCCAAAGATGATCCAACAGAATGTAGAAATTACTGAATAGTATCATTAATAATACACACAAATAATATTTTGTTGAAGATAATTCAAAAATGGTTACAGCAGTATATTGACAAAGAATTGCCAAAAATTCAAGCTGGATTCAAAAGTGGGCATGGAACGAGTGATATCATTGCTAGTGTCAGATGGATCCTGGCTGAAAGCAGCAAATACTAGAAAGATGTTTAGCTGTGGGTTTTTTTTTTTTTTTTTTTTTTGGCTATGCTAAGGGATTTAACTGTGTGGATCATAAGAAATTATAGATAACATTGAGAAGAATGGGAATTCTTGAACACTTACTTGTGCTCAGGAAGAACCTGTACATAGACCAAGAGGTAGTCATTTGAACAGAACAGGGGATAATGCAAGGAAAGGTGTGCATCAGGGTTGTATCCTTTCACCATACTTATTCAATCTGCATGCTGAGCAAATAATTTGGGAAGTTGGACTATATGAAGAAGAACGTGGCATCAGTATTGGAGAAGGACTCATTAACAACCTGCAATATGCAAGTGACAAAACATTGCTTGCTGAAAGTGAAGAACACCTGAAGCACTTACTGATGAAGATCAAAGACTACAGCCTTCAGTATTGATTAAACCTCAACATAAAACAAAAATTCTCACCACTGGACCAATAAGCAATATCACAATAAATGGAGAAATGATAGAAGTTGTCAAGGATTTCATTTCACTTGGATCCACAGTCAATGCCCATGGAAGCACTCAGACTTTCATGATGTTCTCTGTATTGAGGTTCTCTTCTATAGCATCCACAATCCTTTCCATAGAGTACCATATGTAATGAGCCTTAAAGGTCCTTATGACCCCCAATCTAGAGGCTGAATTAGAGACATTGTGTTTTGGGGGCAAGCAGACCACATCAATGCCTTTGGTGTTGGAACTCATGGGGTTCTGAGTGAGTAGCGGCATTGTCCAATATCAAAAGAACTTTGAGGGCAATCTATTATGCGTAAGGTACTTCCTATTTCAGGGACAAACCATCAATGTAATCAGTCCAGAAAAAGGGTATTGTTGTTCGGGCCTTCTTGTTGTACAACCAAAAGACTGGTGGCTGGTGTTTATTTCTTCCCTTCTGGATCAAGGGTTACAGCCTTTATAGATAAGGACAGTCCTGATCATAAACCCAACTGCATTTTCACGAAACAGTAGAATTAGCTTATTCTTTGCTGGCTTATATCCCGGTACTAACTTCTCTTCTTTACTAATAAATGTCCTCTGTGGTATATTTCTTTTTAAAGAATA